GGGCCTGTGGTGTGCTGGCCTGAGACCCGTGGTGGGGGCAGCAGGCAGGGTGCCCACAGGGTGGAGAGAATAAAGCAGATTTTTAGAGTATAAACTTGTAGCCCTCATCCCCAAATCCCTCCCTGATCTTGGGTCTCCAGAACCCCTGTGGAGGGCCGATCCCGGAGTCTGCTCCTCTTCCGGAGGGCCACACCCACACCTGGCCTTCAGAGCTGGCTGCTGGGAGCCGGGTGCCGAAGCTTCTCTTGCTCTTTGTCACTGTCCCTTCCGAAGGCCTCCTGATGCTGCGGAAATAGCCATTCTCTTTGCAGTGTCCCCCTCCCTTCTGCAGAATGAAGGTCCCTGTTTCCGTCCTGTGTAACTGAGCTCTTTGGCAGAGGAGAGTGGTATGGCCATTCTTTGTAGAAAGGCACGAAGCATGTCATAGGTGGAGGTTCCCTGGGATGGGAGCCTGGGAGCCTGGGTGAGTGGGGAGGCTCAAGGAGGGCCCAAGAGAGGGTGCAGAGACTTAGCATAGGGTCATCCTCGAAACAGCCAAAAAGTTCAAACACGGGCCCCCGAGAGCACAGGCTGCAGGCAGCGCTGTTACAAACACGTGTCCTGGAAGCAGACTTCATCAAGGACGTGAATCCGAAAGGATGCTTTAAAGAAAAAGGGTTACAGTAAACGCTGCGTTAAAATCCACTGCACATCCTCCAAATCTCTGAAGTCGGTGGTCGGGGCCCTTCCGGGGAGATCTGGTTCCTGGCATGGCGCGCCTTCCTGTGGCATTGGTCGTGGGCCCCTTCGTTGTGTTGCCCGCTTAGCCCCTCTCCTGCAGCCTCCCTCCAGCAGACCAGACGGGCTCAGCTCACAGGCCCTGGAGTCACAGAATTCCAGAAGTGGATGGTGCCTCCTAGGCATCTGCGGGGCACTCGGCATGCGATGATCTCCAGGTGACCCCAGCCCTGCATGACAAAGGCATTGTCACCACGTGTCACCTAAAGACACCAGAGACCAGCCGCCAGGGGCCTCTCACTGTTTGTGCGCGCGCGTGTGTGCATGTGTGTGTTTGGGTGTGAGGGGACAGAGCCAACAGGGCAAGGGCAACAGGAATGCTGGTCAGTGCCAGCAGAATTCAGGCCTGGGGGCTGCTGAGAGCAGGCAGGAGCAGAAAGCAGGTGGGCCATGTGTGATCAGACCCTGCCTCCATCAGTCACTCCCAGGCCATGCTGTGACAGGACCAGGGATGCCGAAAGGCTGACACCCTAGCAGCGAGGATGCACCCCCAGGAGGCACTGAGTGCAGGAGCCGCCGGCCTTGGGTGCCCTGGGATAAGATCATGCCCAACCACCCAGGCAGCGGCTTAGTGTGGGCCTCACAGAGAGAGAGAGAGCAAGTGATGTGAGAATGAGCTGGGACTAAAGTCCTGGAGCTGCCAGCAGAGCAGGGCTGTGTCCCTCTGCAGAGCTGCCCTGAGGGGGCTTGCATGCGGGATTCTGTCCAGGTGAGACGGAGGGCTGCTGTAGACCAGGTGTCCTTTTAAAGGGCCCGAGCACAGACTCACTCGCTCACAAACACTTCCCTGAGCTCCAGCAAAAGGACAGCAGCTCGAACAATGGGAAAATGCCAGGGACAAATAGGGAGGCACTGGATTATCTGGCTTTGGGCAAAGGCTGGAGGGGCAGCTCTCCCCTGGAGCAAAGTGCCTGCAGGCGCCATTGCTGCTTAGTTGAGCCCTCCTCCAATCCAGCCTGCGATGCAGCGGGGCACTGAGTCTCCATGAGTCTCCATGAACCACTCCACCTGATGATTCTCTCACCCTGAAGGTGTGTGCTGCCCCAGCCCGCACCCCCACTCACTGCGTTGGCGGGCCTGAGTTTTAGGGGTCCCTGCTATGTCTTCCTTGCAGCTCGTCCATCGGGACTTAGCAGCCAGAAACGTCCTTGTAGCCGAGGGGCGGAAGATGAAGATTTCGGACTTTGGTCTGTCCCGGGATGTGTATGAAGAGGATTCCTATGTGAAGAGGAGCAAGGTACCAGGTCTTGGGGTGTGCTGGCCTGAGACCGCAGGGCGTCTGGCCTTGGTGAGCTGTTCGTTAAGCAGCCCCAAGCCTGGCAGTAGTGGTAACCAGCCTCGGTTCGCAGCATAACCCAGGTGCTTCCAAGTCCAGAACAGGCAGCTACCAACCAAAAATCAGCTTTGTAGCTCCTTCCAGGTGATCCAGGCCAGATACAGGCAGCAGCTGACCTTGGCGAGTATAAACTTGTAGCCCTCATCCCCAAATCCTTCCCTGATCTTGGGTCTCCAGAGCCCCTGTGCAGGACCGATCCCGGAGTCTGCTCCTCCTCCGGAGGGCCACACCCGCACCTGGCCTTCAGGGCTGGCTGCCGGGAGCCGGGTGCGAAGCTTCTCTTGCTCTTCGTCACTGTCCCTTCCGAAGGCCTCGTGATGCTGCGGAAATAGCCATCCTCTTTGCAGTGTCCCCCTCCCTTCTGCGGAATGAAGGTCCCTGTTTCCGTCCTGTGTAACTGAGCTCTTTGGCAGAGGAGAGTGGTGTGGCCATTCTTTGTAGAAAGGCACGAAGCATGTCACAGGTGGAGGTTCCCTGGGACTGGAGCCTGGGTGAGTTGGGAGGCTCAAGGAGGGCCCGAGAGAGGGTCCGAAGACTTAGCACAGGGTCATCCTCGAAACAGCTAAAAAGTTCAAACACGGCCCCCGAGAGTACAAGCTGCAGGCAGCGCTAGCAGCAGTCAAGACTCAACTACAACAGGAGGGCATACAACCCACGGAAGGGACGCCCTGAGAGCATCCGGCTCAGGTGAACCGGGGGACTGTGCCCCTGGGCCTCACAGGACACCTGCTACATAAGACCACTGCCAAGACCGGGAGACATAGCAGATCCACTAATACATAGAAACAAACACAGGAAACAGCCAAAATGAGGAGACAAAGCAGCACATCCCAAATGAAAGAACAAAACTCCAGAACCAAAACTAGCGCTCTACCAGATGCAGAGTTCAAAACACAGGTCATTAGGATGCTCAGTGAGCTCGGTTTAAAGAAAAAGGGTTACAGTAAACGCTGCGTTGAAATCCACTGCTCATCCTCCCAATCTCTGAAGTCGGTGGCCGGGGCCCCTCCGGGAGATCTGGTTCCTGGCCTGGCGCGCCTTCCTGTGGCATTGGTGGTGGGCCCCTTCGTTGTGTTGCCCGCTTAGCCCCTCTCCTGCAGCCTCTCTCCAGCAGAGCAGACGGCCTCAGCTCACAGGCCCTTCAGGAGTCACAGCTGCCCCGACGTGCAGAACAGTCGCCGCTCAGAAAAGAGTAACACACAGAGCAGCCGCACACAGCGTCACCCTGAGGGTGGGAGCCCCTGTGGTCCAGGCTGTGAGGACGGTGTTTCGTTTTTGCTGGGTTTCCGTTGACAGCACATCTCAGTACTGCCCAAGGGGAAGTGGAGGGCTGTCCCCACCCTGTGGAGGGATGTGGACAGAACCTTCCTGTTGTTGCCCTGATCCTCCAAGAAGGCCCTGTGTCACTGAGCAGAGAGGCACAAACGGTTCAAACACGGCCCCGGGAGCACAGGCTGCAGGCCG